TAATAATAGAGTTTTAAAGCGGCTGTTCGTATCAGAATATACTGTTTATAGGGGAGATATTCATCTAATTGATGTATACAGTTAAATCATTCAAATGTTTTAATATATAGAATCGATTTTTTAGAAACTGATCATAAGAGGATCTATAAAACACATTACAGACATTATTGTTACAGTGATCGTACTGCGTTTACGTCGTAGAAGGAAGTCAATTGTCCTTTTGGAGACTACCGACATACTTGACTTCGATTACAACTAGACAATTGACTCACCAGTAGATTATTTTTGACGTATTGAAAATTTATATCCTTCCAAGTTAAAGTAGAAATGTTGAAGAGTTTTCTCTCTAGATCAGGGAGAAAAAGGAGAATTTCAAGACCAGGAATAACTTTGGTTTCCTTGGGAATTTCTCCTCTTCTAGATAACGAAAAAGATTATTCATCAAAGTCCCAAGCGAAAGTTCAAGCGAAGGGATTGTCGGTTCGGTTCTCTTTACAAATTCTTAGCTTAGCAGTTAGCATGCTTAGTTAGTTTGAAGGAGAATCCGAAGGAATATAGGCAAATATCGGACCTCTTGAGCGCTCCTTGATCAGAGTATCTGGTGGTAATCGAACCCACCACCTCCGGAAAGATAAGAATGCTACCAACTAATCCACCAATGTAGTGCTTACTTATGTAGACTGTGTTTTGATTTAAAACTTTGAATATTAGACGCAGAGGGTTTCATTTGAGATCATCCACAATAACGAGTTCAGAATTTGTTATCCATAAAATCAACATTTCCAATCGAATATCAGAATATATGTAAATGTATAATTCAATCTTTTTAGGTTTGGTTAGTGTTCTAGTCTGGTAGACCAGAGTCGTATTTTCAATTCCCTCCTGAAACACTGGTAAAGAGCACACAACAGTCCCGATAAAGGTCTAAGAAACCGAAGAACTTGAACGATTTTTTTACCTTCTAATATTAAGTTCACATTAAAGAACTCTAAGCATAAAAACCTTTGAAATTGAAAGAATTAATGAACCGATCCTCATTATATAAAAAATGAATGATGGGTTACATAATTCTTCAAAAGGACCTATAATAGTTAGATGGGTTAAACCCCTAAAACCTATGGATAGGATAGAGTTTAAAATTCACAAACCAATATTACATACATTTGTATATGTACATGTGTTTGTGTGTCTGTATATTTGCTATACACACCCATTCGTAGAATACTTGTCGACATCCGCTACAATAAAAGAAGAAAAGTGCAGGCAAGCCGTCAGTTGGGCTGTCATTTTGATTGACTCACTCAACGAATTCGCTTTATAAAAAAAGAAAAACAAAACTTTACACATTACATATGAAATCGCAAAACTTCGCCGCACACTATTACTCTCTTCTCGAAAACCCCCCCAAAGACTTACAACTCCCCCTCCTCCTTAAAAAAAATAACGTGCAATCCGTCACTAACACTCTTCTACTTCCAATTTCAAAATTTCTCGTAGTCTCTTTGTTTCAACTCTCAGTATTTCTCCCATTTATTTCAGAGCGTGTTGGAAACTCTGTTCAACTAAAATAAATCGTAGACAGCCTCAGCGGCAATTTTTCATTGTGGTTTTATTTTATTCAAACAACATTTTAAACAACAAAAAAAACCAACGAGCTAACGAACATACGGGAACGATACAAACAACATGGATTCATTCGTTCAACAGCCATACATATAGCAAATAGTTATTGAGGCATAGATACTTATGTACTATGTTTAAATGTATGTGTTTGTGTTGGGGTACTTGCAAAGAAATTAGTGAAACTAACTTGGTGATTTTTGCACAAGCTTTGGTGATTTTTCGGAAAAGCTTCTAAACAAATAATGATCGGAAATAAGATTGATTTATTCAAGAATCGATGGATTAACAGGGGGCTTTCTTTGAAGTTGAATTCAATTTTTTCCAAAAGCCCACAGATATCTTACAAACATTAAAATTTGAAATAAATTTCACTTTCAAATAACTTACGAATTTGGAATATATGTAGATTCGAAGAATCACAAAATATATAATTTTTTGCAAAAATCTGATAAATTTCCTATAAAATCCGCCAAATGAATTACTTGAAAATTCGGTGCTTTTTTACCCCTAAATATGTTTTTTTGCTACAAAAGTTGACATCATTTAAAACAAGCTAACAGACAGAAATACTTACATACATACAAAAAAACTAACATCCACAATTTACGACTTACTTGTGCTTTTTAAATGAATAAACAAAATACATACTTAAGTATGATGTATGTATGTATGAATGTACGAATGAATGTATGCTTTATTTCAAGAAGTATCTAAATACAAATCGACATACATACCTACTAGATACTAGATGTATGCCTGTAAGTTTGTAACTACACGACGTGCTTTCAATTATTTTGTCTGTCCCTCCAAACGACCTGCCTATCCATCCATCCGTCTGTCCGTCCGTCCGTCCAAATCGACTCAATAACAAAAATACATTGAACCATAGGAGTCTTTTCTATATAATCAGAGAGGCACACAGAGAGAAAAAAAGAGTGTATTATTAGACTCTTTTTAGTTAAATATTTATGGTAAATGAATGAAGCAATGAAAATTGCTGCCAACATGAATTCGCCACTTTATGAGCAACATACACCTTCTTCTCAGCATACGCTTGCCCCCCATTCAGTTGGCTTGAGAGAGCGCGCGCCCACAAGTTGGCATATTTTCAATTTCCGTTTGTTTTTTTCTATTCTAAAGTGTTGTTTTTGTTTTATTTTTTTATTTCAAAATCTTTGCAAGAGGAAATCATACATCCAATTGATGATAAAACAACACAGTGTTTTGTTTGTGTGCTTCCAAATGTACTCATGTACTCGTAAAAGGGTAAAGAGTCGTCTCACTGGCCTACATACATTTAAACACATGTACGAAGATATACACATGTCTGTATGTATATATATAGGTGGTGTACGTTGTATGTTTGTTTAAATATAAAATAATAATAAAAACAGTAATAAGAAATTTCCTTGTTATTTATCAATGAAATTTTTGCTCGCTATTTTTAAGGTTGCAATTGATTAAATTTTGCAAAATAAAAAATAAAAACAGCGAAAAAAAAAAACACACAAACAAAAAAATAACATTGAAATAACGAACATTTCCGAATACCAAACGTATTTTATTATTTAGAATTGAGTTAAATTCGCCTCAGTTATCAATGAAATGTATGTGGTGGGGTTTTAGAGAGTCCGTCTGTGTGCTCCCCCTCTCACAGAATAGCAAAATGTTTGCTCTCTTTTTATTATAATTTAATGAGTATAAAAATAAATGTGTTAAACCCAGCAAATAATTGCGTTGTGATTTGTTTAGAAAATTAAATTTATCTACCAGACATTCCCACTGACTAACACCTTTTTTACTTTAGTTTGTTTCCAGGGTTCTTGTACTAGGCCAATGTCCAGGTCGTCTTCAGTTAAGAGCACACTTTGATTGCCCATAGCGCTTCTCGAATGTTGCATATTAATTTGCACTATTTACTTTCATTAGCATTATCAGCGGCCCACAGACTGTACCGCGCTTTCTCAAACTCAGGGTTCTTGTACTGGGTCAATGCCCTGATCGTCTTCTGCTTAAAGCACCAGCCGATTGTATATAGATCTTTTAGAGTTTGCACTACTCTTGGTACCACTATCAGCATTTGTTTGAGATTTTTAGAGCTTCATTTCGGTGTGAGAGAGAGCTGGCTTCTTCGACTTTACCTGCATGGCACCCCCCCAGGTTTTGTAGGACGGAACACCTTAACCTTTGGGTAGCAGACCTCGCTTTCTCAAACTCAAAGGAGCCCGATTCCGTAATATCAAGGATAATATGCGTTACAAATCTTAGTGATACATTTGTTGATGAATTCCTTTGTGAACACTTACATGCATTTGATCACCTAGTATCCCCGGTGTATCTCACTTGAGTCAAAGCGATGTGCCGTGTTGTCCTCATTAGCAATCAGGTGTTCCATTACAAACCACTAAATGGACATTGAACCCATCTTTATCGTTTGACAGTGCTATTAGTAGATGATTCTTCACCACTTACTCAAGGGTCCGATTCCGTAATAGCGAGAGTAAAAAGATCATATGTCTATCCTATAAGCGACCTGGTGATAAAAGATCAATAAATCGACTTCTGCTCGATGTGATTTTGGATCTTGAGTGGTTTTGTTGTCTGTAACCTTTCTTCTTTTTGACATTTTACCTGCATCGGTCAGAAAGTAGTTTCATTTGGACCATTCATTTTCTATAGCTGCTGCCTTAGATGTGGTGAGTACGGATTCCATAGACTTCTGTCTTGTCCACCACCGCTTAATATTTTTACGCGATCTTGGGGATAGCCATTGGCAGTATTTTTTGCAATCTTATCTAGAATGAACTTGCCATATCCAGCCTCTATGATGTCTTTCTGACTCTTCTCCTTCTTAATTGGTCGCCAGACTATCAGATTGAGAAGGATTCTTGTCGAGATTTTGAGAGCTGTGAAAGTCGCTCAAACTAACTTACATACTGATCAACGTCTCTTGCTTTGAGGATCATCCTCGGATCCTTCTTCTGTTTCATAATTTTTGGTCCCACGAGTAGCCTCATAAAGGAAATGAGGATCCATGCAGTGACGGAGTACATTGATTACACTAGACATTAAACCGACCCCTGTCTTGAAACCAGAGAGGTGCTGTTAGCAACTAATCTTCTTTTAACACTAATATGTCACTCAGGTTTCAACCACCTTAACCTTACAAGTGGGGAATAAGTCTAAAGACTAGTCCATGGACTAGTAGATAAGATTAATCGTCATTTTGTTAGTTGGGTTATAATTTTTTTCTTTTTGATTCACTTTATTTTACATCCGCAGACACATACACATAAACCTAAATAAGAGTCATTCATACAGATAGATATTCATTCGCTCAGAGCTGGTTTAGTTTGTGGAGAGCGCAAGTATGTGTGCGAATCAGTCGTTTTTCATATTTCCTCCAAAGCGGACGGAGTACAAAAAAGTGCGTATAAACGTACGTTTGGTGTTTTTTTATTTTCACAATATTCTTATAACATTTACACATAGATACACAAACATACACACGCACGCGAACACACTCTATATGCATACATTCAAACATACATACATATACTCCCGATATACAAACAAACGTACCTATGTATATAGTTACAAAGATACTTTTGTCACATTTTTACCTTTTTGGATTTCCTATTAAATTTTCACAAAAACGTCTATAAGTGAGGACGGTTCGTGCTCTTTAAATTTCAATTACAACAGCAACAAAACATCTAAAGAACATTGGAAAAATCGGAAAACAAACAACAACAAAACAGCAGCAACTACATTAAGATTGTAACAACAACAACAATAAGAAAAGTTGACAATCAGCAGACACGTACATAAGAACGACCTTATCGAACTGTGTGCAGAAAGAACGACGTTGAAATTCATTCATTGAAATTTTTTCGCAAATGAATTAGTAGTTGCTGTCTTTGTTATTTTCGCATTCGTCGTCGATGTATTCGCCTCGCCGCATTCGTATATAGAATAAATAAACGACTAAGAAAAAAAAACTTGAATCAAAAAAATTTAGAATGAAAGAAACGAAGAAACTAAAAAAAAAACTGAATGAATTTAAAAAGTGTGAATCAATTTGAAAATAACTAAGTATGTGCATAAAGAAATTAAATAATTGAAAATTTCTAACAATAATAAAAACTAAAAAAGAAAATAATAAAGAATAACTAAAAGTATTAATAAATAATTAAATTATGAGTAATGAGTACTTTTTGTTAAAGTTTTCAATAAATTAAATGTTTAAAAAAGGGGTAGGGGGATTTGTTTAAATATTTTATTTAATTGAAAAAAAGAACTAACTGAAAAAATGGGCAAAAGACCAACGTCATCGATAAACACGGCGAAAAAAATAGAGAACAGACAAACAAATAATTGAATATCTTACAAATAAATCATAAATATAAACGAATTTAAAAAAGAAAATAAATGATCTTTTAGCTAAACGCTCTCTTTTACTAATAGTTCATTCAGATTACAAACTCTCTCTCTCCCACTCTCTCTCTCTCGTACACACACACACCTACAAACTAAAGCAGGAAAATATAATTAACGGCGAATTTATCTTAACGTGTTAAACGAAAAGATCCCTAACTAATAATCATACGCTCCCGAACACTCTTGAAATCTACTTATGTAAATGTAATGGTGTGTATGTGTGTGTTGATTCTCTCTCATTTAATTTTAACTCTCTTTCCTCGCCCAATTTGACTACTAAATTGTACTTTAAGGCACCGTGACTCGCGTGAGAGTGGCACGCATGCAACAAACCACCTCGACAGACATTAGTTCGAGGTAGACAGTGCGCGATACACAACCACTTGGATTTATTTCGCTTGAAAGCGTTTCTAACAAACTGTCTCGTACCATCGATCGATCCGTCGCGGGGCTGACTAACAACAACTACACAAGAAAGCAAAATAAAAAAAAATCAAACAAATAAATAAAATTATAAAGAAAGAAATACCGAATGAGTGTGCGTGTCCATATTAAAATCGAGTATATATCCGCCTCTGTACGTTCGCCAAGAAAACGTTTTAAACTAACAGCAACAACAACAAAAAGTGACCACACGTTTAGGCCTTAATTTCTTTTAAATGTAATTTATTTATAAAATATAAATCCTGCTTATTTTAACGATCCGACGATAACACTTTTAAGCAACGACTCATTCAGTTTTTAAAGCAAATGTTATTAAACGAAATTTAAAGAAAAATAACGAAAAGTATTTAGTGCCTAAAAATATAATAATAACAACAACAGCATACAAAAAAAATCAAACAAATCTTTTCTCAAATCTTCTGCTAAAATACAAAAATTAAACAAAAAATATTTTTTTTTTTTTTTTTCAAAAATTTATAAAAAAAAAAGTATTATCAAAAAGAAATAATAATAAAAAGAGAAGAGGAAGAAAATAATTCAAATAAAATAAAATGAAATTGTGTGAATTAAGTGTATACACGTCTACAAATACCAATACAACAAATACAACTACAAATACAAAACGTAGCTATAATAAATGTATGTCTAAAACAAAATCTTCAACATCATCGTTGTTGTTTTCAAACTCTTCGTTGTCGTCGTCTTCTTCATCATCATCATCAACATCCTCATCATCATCGTTGTAGTCGTCGTCATCGTCGTCACCGATGTTGTGTTTATATAAATGTATATATTGAAAATAATTTATGAATGAATTAAAGAAAGAAGAAAAAAAATATTCAGCAAATCAACAACAACAACAACAACACCGTCTCATTATCATAAATATGTAGTAGTATGTTTAAATAACAAATAATTAAACAAAATCGTTTTAAATTTGCAAATTTCTATTAAAATTTTTATAAGAATTTAATACAAAAAAAATAATTATACACAATTTAAAAAAAAAGAAATTATTAAAGAAAAAGAAATAGAAAAAAGTGCAACTGTGTGTTAAATCCAAAAAAAACATAAATTATTTCTTCATACATACTTCTTACTCATAGTTATACACAAACAACAACAACAAATAAACATCATAAAAACATACATTTATAAATAATACATACAACAGCAACAAAAACAAAAACAACAACATCTAATAGTAAAAGAAAAGTAAAATACTTAAAAACCTATCTATGTTTGTTTGAATGTATGAAATGTAAGTTTTTCTTTACATAAATATCTGCTAGATAGATGTATGTATATGAATCTTAAATAAGAAACCAACAAAATTAAAAACAACAACAACCAGCAGCAGCAACAGCGGCATATTCAACCATCTGTCATTTCCTGTCTGGATTTTGTGTGTATGCCTGTGTGTGTGTGTGGATTATTACAACAAGTTAAACACTATAAAAGATTTAAATGAGTTTTACTATTTCTGTGAAACAACAACAAAAACATCATTAATTTTCTTTTTTTTCACTTCTTCTTTGACTACGATTCAATTTGATTTGATTCGATTTAAATCATTGTGGAATCTAAACAATTCAAAATTTAAATACATACAACAACAGACCACAAAAAACAACAACAAAAGAATTAAGGATTATTTTAAAATCTTCCACAAAACGGCATCGAACGAATTTTTATGTTAATTATATTGGATTGCTTTTTAAAAACAATGTAAGTTTTACTAATATTAAACTATATAGTATTATTATTATTTATTTCAAGACCCTTAAAACCCTTAAGTTTAGGAATTTAAAAATTTTTATAAAAATTTATTTTCTCTTTAAAATTTTTTATGAATTTATAGAGGGAGACAATTTTTTTTTATATATTACCAGTGTAATTTTATCAACCATTTGATTGGTTTCACGAAAAAAACAACAACTACAACGTTGTTGTACAATGATTTTACGAGTTAAACGTTAAACGGGAAGTTTCTAATTAGGGGGATATATACAATCAACTACATAAATATTTCATAAATTTAAAATATGTGAACATTTACATGCATACGTTTTATTAATAAATATTAGGAGAGACCATGAAAAAGAAAGCAATAACAGTAAGAGCTTGTGGACCAAAAGAAACTGGTTTTACAAGGTTTTTTCTAATAAAATAGGAAAGGCATATGTGGTCACCTCATAGGTCCTTTTTGGACATCAGAATCCTCTTAATTTCCGAAATAATTTGTTGTCACCTCATAGGTCCTTTTTTGTCATCAGAATTCTCTTAATTTCCGCTATAATTTGTTGTCTTTAGCATTACTTTTATCTAATCTTACTATTGCCTTCATATAACAAGACTTTTGGGTCCTGAAAATATGAAAAAACTAACCTCAGATATCTATAAAGTGGAATATTTAAGCTCAAATATTGAAGATACTTTTTAAATTCCAGTCTATTCGATTTGATCTTTTTAAACCATGAAATTTTTATTTTAACATTAAATCAAAGAGCATTTCTTCTATTAGAATAAAGTTACAGGATTTTATGACCTTTGACCTCGAAAATCTTGTATATTTTGATAATCTTAGAGCTGAATGGTGTTTTCCATTATTTGTTGAATAAAAACTTCATTCCCTAGATTCCTATTGATTTCCGTATCAATATTTAAGGAGTTTCTTAGAAAGGTCCGAATAAGTAATAAGTTAAATATATAGTCTAACCCCCATTTGTTTTTGGAATTCCTGAGTAATCTGTGATGGAAGGAGTTCTCTCAGTTACAATAACATTCAGTTAGAGCCATTAAAAAAACATATCAGATCCTTCTTTTTTTGATGATATTCAGTTGCCGACAATTTTATTAATGTAGTACTTAGAGGTCATTGACCTGCAGTTAGAGAATAAGAATTTTTCTATACAATTAAGGTCATTATAGAAAAACAACCTAAAAATTAACCATAAGCCGAGGTAAGGAACCAATTTCAAAACTATTGGAGCTATTAAAAATACATGTCAGATTGTGCTATTTTACGAGGGTATTTAGAGGTCATTCACCCGCAGTTAAAGAATAAGAAGAATTCTTTACAACTGAGGTCTTTAAAGAGAAACAACCTATTTCTAAATTAACCACCAGCCGATGTTAGAAACCCATTTCACAACTATTGATTTTGTAAGAAATTCTGAAGACTTTTTAACTTCATTTGAAGATCATAATGTATAGGTTTAGGTCCTCGGGATTATATAATTTCTTCGATGACAGTCTGTGAAACACATCCATGCTTTAGGGAACTATGTAGTTCTATTCAGATTCTAACATTTCATAATAAAATATATAGAAAAAATAAGTAAATAATGTCCGATTAAGACGCGATTTATCTTAAGAGGAAGTCCATAGATTCTTAAAATATTTTCATTACATTTTACTTCAATTACAAATGATCAATTAAACCTATAATAGTAGATTACTTCCGATTAGTTAAATAACTAATAAATTTAAAGTCTCTTCTTTTTTGAATACTTAGTTTTGCGCCGGTGTGCCTCCGCTAGTTAGTTAGTGTTAGTGTTCTAGTCTGGTAGATCGGAGGTGGTGGGTTCGATTCCCACCTGAAGCACTGGTTAAGGAGCGGACAACAAGCCCGATAGACACCTATTCTTCAGATTTGATGTATATCCTCCTTTCAAACTAACTAACTAACTAGTTTTGCTAAAGTGACGATTAACTTCCTCTCTGTATTACTTAGGGGGACTAAAGAAAATACTGACTCCCTCTCTGCATTATTTAAAGACACTACACAGCAGATAGAGAATGAGACCTCTAACTGGTTATGTTACGTAAGGGTTCTATTATTAGCCTTTATCTAAACTAAAATAAATGAAGAATATCAAAAAAAGTCAATAGACTACTTCTTAGACTTCTGAATAGATTTTGAGAAACATTATAGATGAAACAAAATTACTTGGAATCTTCTCATATTAAATTCTTTAAAAAATATGAAATCTTTATTAGAACATAAAATACAGTGTAAAAAATCGAACCCATAACCACCAGATTACCCACTGGCTTATAGGGGCTCCCAACCCTTTAATATTAGTTGAAAATGACTAAAAAAATTTTAACCAGTAGAAAAATGTAGTTTAAAGCTGCTTTGACAGATCACTGAAGTTTAAGAAATCCTATGAAACTAGTAAATTTTAATCATATTTTAGAGATAAATTAGATAAATACCTAGAGACGCGAGTTCCGTAACTAATAACTTTAAAAAGGTGATTTAATATTAATTTTCACTTCTTACAAACATTGCTAAAATTAACCTATTTTTAAAAGATCACAATAGAAGATCAGTAATACATATATTAATTGACACCATTTGCTCTTATAAACTGCATATAAGATCAATTAAACATTTGTCATCGCTAACTAAAGTTCGATTTTCATTTTTTTCCCCTCAGCATAGTGTAAAAATTAAGAGAAAGAACTAACCATTTTCAAATAAATTCATAGTATTAGAAGAGTCTTATGTGTAATGTAAAAATTTAAATGCTATTGTGGCATCAATTAAATGACGTTTTTCTTGAAAATGTCCCAAGTATTTAATGTCGGCAACAATGTAAAATTGCTATCTGTCAATGTATTTCTTACGTATTACGTTAAATAAATTGTGGTTATTTACGTGTATGAGCTAAATTCGTAACAAAATGAGAAAAAGTATGTTCTAGAGAAATCAACTAGGAAGTAAGAAACATGTTTACATTAATTACTATAATAGAGTATAGGAAAAGTAAAATCGTTTAAAAAGTATATACCTATAAAACCTTAATTATCATTTTATATCTAAAATAATCCTTTAAAGTGAAAGAAATTTGAAAATTTGTGCAAAAATCTATGACGATAATGTTCAAAGTTTTATCATTAGCATCATCATTCATATCTACTACTCGTAATAAACATTAGATTTATTATGAATTTAAAACATATTTCATTTAGCTGTGGCATTTTTTTTTTCTTTTTATTTTTTCCTACTTATTTTTCATACTACGTAAAAACATTTGTTTATTATTATTTGCTATTTTTACTCTCAAAATTCTTTCGTTGCTTTTCATTTTGCAATTGCTATTTTGTTTTATGACATTTTTATTTTAGAAACAAGAAAAAAATACAATTTCTGTTTGCGTAGATTGTTAATGATTTTCGATTAACTTTGTTGTTGCAAGTGAAATGGATTTGATTTTTATGAAAAAAAAAAACAAAATGAAAATTTTATAAATTAAATTAAAATATACAATTAATATCATTTCTTACACTTATTGTATACGATTTTTGTATAACAATAATAATACTGAAGTTTATAATCAGCTGATCTTGTAATGTTCTGTCTATGTTCACACTAACAATATATTTATTAAAATTGATGTGATTACACAGTTATTTATGTATTTATTACTTAGTTGCTTTAGATTTGAAGTTCTCATTTTAGATTTGCTTTACTATATGATTCGCTATTATTAGCAATTACAAAAACCATGTAAAATGTAAACCAACTACAAATGTTTAATACGTGTGAACGTAACCACAAGCCAAGGTTAGTTACCCATATCAAAACTATTAGAGGCATTAAAAAGACATGTTAGATCCTTCTATTTTTAGAGTTCAATCACCCGCAATTGAAGAATAAGAATAATTCTGTACAACTAAGGTTTTTAAAGAGAAACACAAGCCGTCGTTAAGAACCAATTTCAAAACTATTAATTTTGCAAAAAAAAAATCTGAAGACTTCATTTGATGATCATAATAATATGCATTTTTGATCCTTAAGATTATATAATTACTTCGATGACGGTCTGAGAAACATATCCATGCTTTAGAGAACTAGTTTTATATACATACGTGTGAACGTAGCATAAGAATTTATGAAATTATATTTTAATGGTTTCTAAAACTACCGTTGCATTTTATCGACATTTAAAGTAAAGAAGTTTTTCGACAGTTTCGTACCACTGTCATTATGTTTATATAAACGCCTTAATAGTATATTTGGAATAGGAAAATTTGTCTACAAAATGCTATGAATGCATTTGAAAATACATATATTCATAATATTTAATGAAAAAGAATATATATATACATATATATTTATTCGTATAGCCTTTAGTTTGCAGTAAAAGTCTGTCGTATGTTGAGACTAAAAACGCAACTGTGAAAGTAAAATCCCTGCAGTTCACAGTGTATTTCTTGAAATACATATGTTACAGCATTAACTGTAAGACATGTTTGTCTTAGGAGAAAGTCAAATGTCTAATCTTTAGAAACCTTTAGAAACATTAACATGACAATTGTTTTCCTCCCCGAATTACTTGAGGACACTAAAGAGAAGACTGACATTCTCCCTGCATTACTCAAAGACACTAAAGCAGAAGAGAATGAAGGAAAGAGAGTTCTTTGCCTATATCTGCTTTATAGTGAAGATTGCATTAAAAATGATCCGAATTACTTGAGAACACTAAAGAGAAGTCTGACATTCTCTCTGCATTACTTAAAAACACTAAAGCAGGCATCGACAATAGGATAAAGGAAAGAGAGTTTTTTGCTTATCTCTGCTTTAAAGTAAAGATTACATTACAAACGATCTGAATGACTTGAGGACACTAAAGAGAAGACTGACATTCTCTCTGCATTACTAAAGACACTAAAGCAGGCATCGGCAAGAGGATAAAGGAAAGAGAGATCTCTGCCCA